TTTAATTTTCTTTTCCATTTAGGCGGCTTATTTACACACCATTCAGTGAAAGTGCGGTTATGGAACGGAAAAGAAGAAGTCGAACGAGCCATTGGAGGTGGTGTAGGAGAATCTCTATTTGATTTTTCATTGACAGCAGCTTCATTCTTTTTGTTTTTATCATTTCTTTTATCATTATGAGAAGGTTCAGCAAATTCCGAACTTTTCTTTTCTGAAAGATCCATATCAACCTCAACTTCAAATCCCAAGGGCGTCACCCATCTTTGAGGGTCTCTCCTTTTATTAAATTCATATGAATGATCTTCTATTCCGACTTGAACATACATATGCCAAAATGATCGATCACGGAACAAACAGAAAGTTCCTGGATCATCAACGGAGAACGAAAGAGGATGCAAGGAAATTTGTTCTTCGGCGGTGATACGACCTTGATTAAATTCAAGTAATGTGATTGATATTATTTGAGGTCTTTGACGTTTTGAAGGAGAAGCGTATAATCGCATTGGTTTCGTTTCTTTTACGGGTTCAAAGAATGCTCTGAACGTTTGAGGATCATATGCCGTCATTTTGTAGTCGAATTTCGATATTATTCGTCCTAAATAAAGATAAATTAATAAATTTAAATTTTTTTTTTTTTTTGAAAATTCAACATTAAATAAATTAATTAATTACCTTGTTCGACAACGACAGAAACCATCCATTTATCGGTTCCAATAAATCTTTTTGCATCATCAGTATCGACCATATTTGATTTTCCTTTGTAATCTGGATCAACTTGCATTCTGATATTTTTACTAATTTAGATAATGCTTTAGAAACTTGATTTTTCGTTTTTAATGTAAAAAAAGAAAAATTGTTGAAAAATCCAGGTCAATCCTCTCACTATATATAAAATTTGCAGCCCATAAGTGGGAAATTCGTCTTACCCTAAATTTTCTGCGAGTTCCCGGAACATCGGAAGTTTTTTTAATAATGATGAAGATACTGCATCATGGATCTATACTTTATCTTGTTTGTAGAACCAAACCATGATCTACTCGTAAAATAAAACAAATTTTTTTTTCCTATTATCCCATTAAATTTGGGGTAATGGCTCAGGTTCACAGATCATTCGATTCAGGGTTTAATGAAAGTCGTACATTTCTAAAATAATTGGCGGGGAAATGGGTCAAAAGATCAAAATATGATGAATTTATGAATTCATAAAAAAATGGTGGGGTTAAATATTAAAAGAGCTGAACCCCATGAAATTTTTACCCTCTTATTCCGACCTAATCTTTTCTCGGACAAAACATATGCAATTTATCTGTACAAAAATATAAGTATAATCGGGGATGTCAAATAATAATCAATGATGAAATTTCAATGCTTAATACTAGGGTTGACAATCATGCACATAATAAAAAAAGGTATTACGAATTATACACCAAAATTTAAGGAAAAATGGCAATAACGTCATTATGATGCACAATTTTTCACCATAATTTTTTTATTGATGTTCAAAACACAAAATGTTTCGTTCTAAAAAATAAGCGTAATGTCAACGCAGTAAAATGTCGTCATTTTAAAGTTTGGTCACAACCCTTTAAATAAATTTTTTATAAACATCAAAAATTCTCAACTAGAAAAACTTTTTAAACCAAAGTGGGCTTATTTTATGTGGCGTTACGTAACCGGAGAAAGTGGCGAGTTAATGAAATCCACTATATCCTTACCTTTTAAGGATTTTGGATATTTTGTTCACAGAAAATCATTCCCAATTTTGAAATTTCTAGTCGTGTCGTATGATTAAATTTTGAATTTTTTCGACTTGTTTTTTTAGGTTCGGGTTCGTAATTATATAAACGACGATCGTTAAATCTTAACAAATCTTTCGATTTTATAACATCGATATGTCATTCTGACGCGTTTTTATTTCCCAAAATTCAAATATTCAAATTTCCCATTAAATTTAAAATTTTTGCATGTCACTATGATGGTTAAATGAATTCTTTATTCATACAATTAGGTTATATTAAATTAATTCATTTCGATGCTTGTATGATGGATGATCTTACTTTATACGATAACTAAGTTTTCGGTTCCCCCCCCCCAAAAAAGGTGTCAATTAAGAATTAAATTGAAGTAATATAATGGTCATAGACCATTATAATCTAGTAATTAGTAGGTTTATGAGCATTTCATTGGATACTCGTAACATCATCATACGCGAAGTAAGTAATATGACGAGCATGACAATTCCCAGTCCTCATTCCCTATCCCGTGACATCAAATCGCCTACTTAATTGTTTTCGGATATATATTTTTCCTCTCAGTCGAAATATATCAATGATGCATTAAAAATCAAAAAATTTATTCGACCCGGTTTTACCATCACATAATAAATAATCAATCATAGGATTTTCCTGAACTTGGTTATTACAATGTCAGATGGCCAAAATCGTTAACGTCATGTCTAACTTCATCTTTGAAAGTTTTTTTAATTTAATTTCAATGTTTCGGTCATAAACGAAATGATATTATAGGCTTCCAGAAATCCGTGCTACACTTGGCATATCAAATTGTTTTTCATTTTTGAACGGGGAAACATAATAAGCATAGGGAAAACACCTAAAACTCTAATTATTCCTCCGCATCGTTTACGATCAAATCTTCTTGTCCTTGGGAAAGAAACTTGTTAGTTCTTCCCTACATAATATATGTGGAGATTGTAAAAACATCGATGATGTAATGCAAAAAATAAGGATTTGGCAAGTGGAGTTTGTCTACGTCACGATTAAGTTGGAAAAAGCGGGGTCAAAGTCACAATTGTAGTTCCTCGGTCCGGAATTTATGATCACGTGTCTCTATATACTATTTTATTTAGGCACTACCTGAATTGGGTTCAATATACCAACCATGACGCAGAACAAATCTCTTTCCTCAACGGAATATGTTAAGCTTACAAGCTCAGACGGGTTCGAATTTTATATTGAAAGAAATGCCGCGTTAATTTCCGGCACTATAAAGAACATGTTATCAAGTCCTGGTAATTATTGACTCGGAATATTTAACAAATAATATTTATTTATTTATTTATTTATTTATTTATTTATTTAGGGCAATTTATGGAATCTGACCAGAACATAGTTCATTTTCGAGATATTACGTATGAAGTTTTTCCTTATTATTGTTTCCTTTCAATTTTTCAATTCAAAATCATGAAATTTATGATAGGTTTGATAAATTATTTATTAAAAATTAATTAGGGCCGTAATCTTGGAGAAAGTGTGTCAATATTTGTATTATAAATCTCGATATACCGCATCTCAAACTGATATACCGGCATTTCCAATCGAACCAAATCTCGCCTTAGAATTACTTATGGTAGCCGATTTTCTAGATTGTTAAAAAATATATACTTTTCAATTTTAATGATACGACAGAATGTACTTTAAATATCTGATGTAACTCTTGCTCCAATATCATTCATTTGAGAAAATAATGGATCATTTTCTCCCAATACATAAGTTAGCGTCACTCTCTTATAATAATCTCCAGAAAAATTTTCCAAATTCTCTATAATATCATCTAATAAGTAAGCTTTGGCAATCGCTAATCCCCCAGCTATCGTATCACTTTTAACATGCGTAATATGGACATGAAAGTGATCTATCAAGATGATGGAAAAAAATAAAATAAAATATAAGACTTTAAACAGAGAGGAAAAAAAAATCATTTCGCAGATATTAATACTTACAATAAGATGGCACATAATGAATGAAAAAGCGCAATTCGTCCGATCTAACACCAGAATATTTTTGCGGAACGAACCCAAGGACTTGACGTCTTATATTCTTAAGTAATGGCAAATGACTTTCATTTAGGTCACGTAGACAACGAATATCTTTTCTGTGTACAATAGCGGTTAGATAAAGATTTTCTAATGTGACTTTGTCCCATTTCATATCTGGTAATAGAAGGAATCCTGTTGATTCCCCTTCAACTTCTAACAGGATCTTTTCAACCTCACTCTTCTTTGACAAAATATTGTAGATCCATTGAATTCTGCTCGGAGGTATAGATTCGATATAAGGCTTAACGATTGTCTCGTAAATTTGAGGAGTCTCACGAATTAAGAAACGAGGTTGAAAAGTGTACTTTCGAATATGCTAATAATACGTTCGATATTCATATAAATTTAAAGGCTTCTTAACGTGATTCTCAAACAAAATGAAAAATAATTTACCGTCTCGGTAGCGGGCCATATAAGTGTAACTTTGAAATCCGGCCATTTTTCGTTTTTAGTTAATAAACCGTTGTACCAATGATATATGTCATTCTTATCGATGGATATCCATCGTTGAACTCTCCCTTTTGAAAGGATTGGAAGCTCTTCACTACTAAAATTTAATTTTTCTAATAATAATATCGCATCTCGTGGTGATTCAGACGATGATTTAAGTTTACCCAAAATGTTTGCAGTTTTTGTACGAGGATCTTTTTCCAAATAAAAAGAAATCAATTACATGTTAACTTTTTAAGTGGTAAAAAATCAATCGATTACCTTCACTGAGAACTCGAATAAATTCAAATTCTTGTAATTCTTCGCAAGTAGGGGCACGTTGATATTTAACATCATCAATTTGAGAAGACATTTTGGATTAAATGATTGGAAACTAATAAGCCACTAACTATATACTTTTTTGACCGATGATCGCTAATCCATATAAATCAACGATTATCGTTGTACTTATCTAGATTTATTCAGTGGGTCAGAACTTATCGAATTTTTATACTTGAGCAAGAATGCATTTTTTTATTATTATTTTCCAGGAGATTACATTGAACTCATCAATTTACATAATACTATCTCTTTTTATGAAATCAATAAACATAACGTATAATTTCTTTTTATTAATCTATATGTTTTAAATCTATAAATAAAAGTTCATCAAGTAAAAAAAAATTAGTAATCGTAATTAAAAGGAAAAGAAATTAATTACTTAAATAGACGTATCCTAAATATTTTGTCCAAATGTATCTATGTTAAATTGACCTTGTTCAATATCGTCATCTTTTGTGTTCTTTGATTCTTCTTGTTCCGTGAATTCATTCACTTTCTGTTCTTGATAAGGATTTTGTGGCTCAGGGAACTCACTTATTTGACTCTTTATACCAACTTGTTGTTCACCGTAACCAACATATTCATGTGGTTGATCATCAAAGTCACTTAAAGGTTCCCCATAATCATCATTTTGAACTTCAAATTCACTTGTCCTACCTAAAAATTCGTTACTGCCGTATTCGCCTGTATTACCATCATATTCACTAGTCCTGGTATCAAATTCACTAATTCTATTCACATATTCGCCGGTTCTTACACTATAATCATCATCATCTTGATTATCGTATTCATCGGCTCTCTCACCATAATCATCATCATCATCTTCTTCTTCTTCTTCTTCTTCGTTATTTTCATTATAATCCTTAAAATCTTCAACTTGAACTATGTCATAATCTTCAACTTGATGAGTTTGTCTGTTATAGGAATCATTTCGAAGAACAACATATTCATCATTTTGAACTATATATTCCTCTTCTTCCTCCTCTTCCTCCTCCTCCTCCTCCTCTTCTTCATTTTGTTGGTCACCTTCATCATAATTACTCGATTTCTCTCGAACTATATATTCGTCTTGATTTTTGCTAAATACGACGTCCGTTGATTGTTTTTTAAACACATCAATATTTTCATTAACTTGTTTTAATTCTACTTCGAATTCCAAACTATTAACTTTGTTCTTTTGGGGAATCGATTGAGACGCGATAACATCATCCATCTGTTCTTCGTCATCATCCAACCCTTCCATCTCCGGACTGTTCCCTAGGGATGATTCTACATCCCGTGGTGTGTTATTGTTATTGGTGGTGATCGTTTCCCCGGGCGTGCTAACTGCTGATGTAAGAGAAGCCTCTCGAAGTAACGATGATGATTTAGGTATTGATGATAGATGAGGTAGAGGTCTCAAGAAACTTGCGGTGTCGGGTTCCGTCTCCGATGGTTGAGGCGTTGATGCTTCCGTGGGTGGTTGTATGATTGATGCTGTTGGAGTTGGGGTATCCTGTGATTCCCGATCGATGCTTTAATTAATATAGCGAATGAAAAAAAAGTGATTTGAATTTGGTTGAAACTTACCTCAACAATCGGAAGTCGAGTTGGTGTTGCCACGTTTCCTACATCATCATCGTCATCATCAATAAAACTGATTTTCCTGTCAGCTATAAAGTGAATGGAAATGAAAATTTAGAATATTCAATAAATAATTTATAATAACTAATTTATATTAAATAATAATAATTATATTTTATTAAAATATATGTTAATTGAAAATTAATCCCATACATTTATATATATTAGAGATGTTAAACGGTCCTAAAATTACCAATAAATTTGCCAGTCTAGAGAAGATTTTAATATTACTAGCGTTATATTTTACTTTCTAATAATAATGTATTAATTGAATATTATAAAAATATATATTAAACTTACAGAATCTTAATTTTTGAAAACTTAGGATCCGGTCCTAAGGACCGGGTCCCATCTTGGCGGTCCCATGAAAATTGTCGATTTCAAAGTTCATAATTCATTATATCAATTTTTTAACATCCCTAATATATATATATCTATCTATTTTATATATATTTTTAATTATTCAAATTGATTAAAATAAACGAGTAAATTGGCAACCCTTTTTTACCTTTAACCCATTTCATCACTTTGAAATTTTTCCCATTGGAAGGGTACTGCCACTTCCTTTCCCTAAATGCCATAAGAAGCATTGGTGTGTATTAAGATAAAGTAATTTTTTTTCAAAGGAAAATACAAAAAAATCTCAACAAGCTGATTTTTTTTTTCCTAATTTATTTACCAAGATTGAACCGGTAGTAACAATGCTCGTTTTAACCGGTCGTGGTCCGCTGCACCATAACCTCGGAACCCATGGTGACGAGAAGGCCTATTTGCTGACATTATATTTTTTCTCTTTTTTTTATTCGAAAGGCTTTATGTTGAAATTAAGTTTTGCTAATTGATAACTTGCTAGATTGGACCCTTTTTATTAAATTCACAGACGAATGCCAAAAATCCAAAATTGTTATTTTTCTCGAGATAAGGTATAGTTAACCTCGTTGATCTCATATACTCGAATCGTTTATTTTTTTGAAAAAAGGTAGAAAATAATTATTTCAAACCCCAAGATTTTATTTAAGTGTTTGATGTGACGCAGCAACAAATTGATTGTCTGTTGATCAACTTTTAAAGAGATATTGGAAATGATCATCCGATTGTTACTCAAAATGAATTATAGCGCAAACACGTTCAATTATTCAATTACAAAAAAGGATCTTTTCACGAGTTTATCAAGTATATTTGAAACTTGCAATCACATAAAAAAAAATAAAAATAGATATTTAAGTCAAAAGAAAAATCTATTCATTCTTTCTCCTTTTTAATGCTTCAATATTTCTTCTATTTTCCATAAAAACTTCTCTCAAATCTTGTCCAAGCTTACTACTGTCAATAACCATAATCCATCGATCAATTAAATTAAGTATACCATTAGTATCGATATCGTATCTATAAAATTAGATGGAACAATGTTAATGGATGAACGTTTTTTTCCTCTTCAATCCTATTTTAAAATTATAATGATAATAATAATACTTACACTTCCCCGCTGGTTTTTATCCATTCGTCTAGTATAAAACAAAGTTCTCGGAATAAAAATCGCATCCCGCCCTTTGTATATAAGGTTTCGTTCTAAATTCAAAGAAAAAGGTCGATTAAATTTATATTAAACGTACGACAAAGTAGGTTTATCAACAACACATAAAAAAAGGAATCATTTCACCTTACCGATCTATTATTCAAAACGTGTTTAAAAGTTTCAAACAAGACGGCATAATTTATTTTTGCCTGCCTTAGAATCTTTGTAATAATACCTGGATCGGTTATTTCGTTCTCAATAAAATATTTTGATACCGCGATAATGATCTTGTCTAAAAATAAAATGTCCCATGCATAGAGTAGGTTAGAAATATTCTATATACCAGAGTTTTCACCATCAGTATCATTGCTTACCTAATGGCATCATACGCGTGTCGCTAGGGTAATACTTTCGCCCGGCTTTTATAAGTACATCTGCTATCGGTTGAATAGAGTTGGTTTGATCTGATTTTTGTATAGCTTTTAATTGTTTAAAAAAAAAATAATAATTAATTTCATTGAAACTTTTATAAAACATGTACAAGGAAATAAATGATAAATGCCTTTTTGTATTATGTTTTCCCAGACATTTACTATTTCGGTTTGATAAGGGGCTTCTTCCACGATCTGTAGCAAGGCTAACTTCTTTTCATACAGGTCAAACGGGTGGATAAAATCATTCAAAAGCTTTAAAGAAAAACGTAACGTACAACAATTATAAGTAAATGCGTTTAACAAAATTCAGACAGAGGCAAGTACAAACGTGAAATTTAATATGTTCCTTACAATATGAGAATCATAGAGCTTTTGATTCAGAAGCGCAAGTACTTCATCCCTGCTAGGTATTCCCTGCGAAGTCGCAAAGTTGTTGTAAACGTTTTCGGGCATACCATTTATATCCGTATAAATTTCGAATTGTATTTGTGCGATCTGACAAAAGGATCATGGGATTAATCGACTATCAAATTTTCGTAACTCATGAAGGATGCGAAATGCGGAAAAATAAAATTACCTTCATTTTAAGACGATATTTATTTAACGCCTCGATCACTTTGGCATTCTCACTGAATTCTTTGGCACTTTCGGCTTGCCCTACGGCATGGGAGAGATAATGCAATCGCTCTTGTAAAGTAACATCTCCCCTGAAATAAAAAGGGTGTTAGGCAGCGAAAAAAAAAATCTATAAAAGTATTTACAAGGAATAATTTACGTTAGTTACCCTGAATTCTGGGCTATATAATCTTTCACTTCGGCTGCTTTAAGGTATTCATGACGCTTCACGCAATAATCACAATACAGATCCAATTTCTTCCTTACTTCTGGTGAAGATAAGTCTTTTGAATGTGTAAGGTAATCTTCAATGTAGGGTGCCGCCGGCTAAATCAGGGGGAAAATTAAATTAAGCAGACAAAATAATTGCGAAACCAGCGACTTGAATAAGGTAGAAATTTTACATCAAATAGTTGTGGAACGGAATCAGCTCGTAAAAATTCATCATATACGGCGAAAAGAAAATCTATATCTTTCAAGCTTAACCCAAGTTCTAGAGCCTTGTGGAGAACGGGATTAAAAGTTTGCGTGTGACCTGAATTCATGATATATAAGAATTTAAATGCTAGATATGAGCAACGTAAAAGGAAATAACGAGAGATGAATATTGAAACTATCGGATGAATTACGGTAAACTCCTTCGTTAAAGACGCCAGCATCTCGTAAGGTTTCAATAACGTTATCAAGGATCGACTTGCGTTTTTCAGTTACATGCTCCATAGTGTGTGCAGCCTTCAACAACAGCTCAACAGCACCTACAGAGTGATAAAAAGTTAAAAATACGCGTAAAGGTTGTAAATTCATTAGAGTATTAACGCCGTTACCTTCGTAAAACTCGAAATTCTTGTATTCATTGCACAAGTTAATTAAGGTACCATATGTCATAGTATTAATGGAATCGGTAAATAATCTAATAAATTCAACCATGATTAGTGAGTAATGTTTTTATAGAAAGATGTTGAATCGTCTTTACAATTTTTTTCTTGTAGATATTACTTCGACTTTAGATCTTTTTTTAAGATCCAAAAATATATTTACATATTGTAAACCTGAAGTAAATCCAAGAAAAATTACAAGACAATCTACTGTGAAGTCAACCAAAAACATTTTTCATATACTGATTAATTACTTGAGTGATATCCGTAACGCTTCAATCGTAGTGTGCTCGTCTTCATTCTTCTTGGCCTTTTGCAGAGCTTCATATCCCTGCATGTTCATTAAATTTAACGTAAGAAAGAAATATTTGAAGAAACCATTTGAATGTTATCATTATCATCCGATATCTCAAACGTGCCTGATATAATTTAACTTCTACGGCATTACAAAAGGTCGGACAGCGTGCTTCTAAATTTCTACTCAGGTTTTCAACCTGCAGGACACCAAGGGTGAAAAAATGATTCGGTTATTCATAAATTTGAAAATCGACTATACGGGCAAAGCAAAGAAGGTAATGAAATCGCACTGAACATTTACACGTGGCGTAGTTTCTCTCTTGATTATAGCCAGAACCACATCATGCCAGCTGCTCCTAACCGACATATCAGTCACCAACTGATCGAAGTTTGAGTTGGCAATCGTTTGCTTTGTTGATAGATCGACACTATAAAGCAAAAGAAGTTTTTAATGAACAGGTAATGGTCCGCATATCTCAAATTCTGACGAGAAAAGCATACCCTTCAATCGTTTCAGGCAAGCTATACTCGAGCATGAGTAAGATAAATGATATCGCATCAGTCATTCTAACGAGCGCATCGTATAAACCACTTATGCCAATGGCTTGTGGTGGCTAATAATGATCATTTAGATAATCATGTCAATTATGTTATTAACGTCGTTTTCAAAGAAGGTTAATAATAATCATTTAACTCACCGCAGTCAAAGGACCACTCTCAAGGTGATGAAGGGTTTTTAAATCAGGATGCCTATAAAGTTAAAATTATTGATAAGGTTGACTTTTACATGAGCAACGACTTCACGATAGATCCGATCCTTACTTGTCACAGAATTTCTTCAGGTTTAATAACTTCTTGACAATATATTGAAGTTTTGGTTCAGGAATGCTTGTATCCAGTCGATTTGCGTTTGTAGCATTTGGTCTAAATGAGATGTGAAAAGTAGGTTATTTTTACTACTAAAAATATTCTAGACGTTTACAATTCGATAGAGCTTTTTCAAGGTTCAAACCATCCTCACTAAACCGACCTTAATTTAAGTATTCGCTGCTTCCATACGGGTCGAAGAATTCTTGCTAAACAATATCCGAATCCTTCAAACAATGTCTTGTAATCTAAGAATGAAATATCAATCAAAATTATGAAGAGACTCGATAAAAAGAACGCACTAATTCGTATTGTAACCTACTAAAGATTTTCAAGAACGAATAGCTTTCATCATTGGCGATCAAAAAACACATCGCCGAAGTTTGTTCCTCGCCATAGCTTATTTAATTAATATAAGAATAAGTGAAAGATATAAATAAAATTTGCCTAGATTCCTTTTTTTTTTTTAAAAAAAAAAAGGGGGAAAGAAAGGACGGACGTTAATGAAGTAACCTTACTTATCGATAAAAGCCTTTGACGATTCACGTGAAGATCCCTTCTTGAGAATATTCTCAAGATGATCAACAGGCCTCAACTTGTTTAATATGATTATACCTTTATCAAAAGATGAAAGCAAATTGAAATTATTAATAAATCAAAAAGTTGCTTTTGGGAATAATTAGTGAAACCAAGTGCACCTACCATGATGTGAATATACAAGGAACTTTCGAGAGGGGGCGCAAAACTGATTGATCAAATCATTTGAAAATTCCTCAAATACTTTGGGATCATAAAGCGGATTAATGATCTCTTGAATTTCATAAATGTTGTGATAAGGAAATATAAAGAGATGCTCGGAAAATATCAGCTCTTGATTCTAGAAGAAAAAAAAAAACAAATTAATGAATCTTCAAGGCCTTGAATTCAAAACCGAAAAAAAAAAAAGCATACCTGGCTGATTCTCAAAAACATCGAGCCATGGTTTGGATTGGTGGTGGTCACGACATGCGATCCGCCTTCTCTTCTTAAAGCAAAAAATACCCCGTGAAAATATTTAAACATTGAAAATCCAGTAATACTTTGTTGAGCAACCTGAGCTGGAGGTTGCGGTGGCGGTTCATGAACCTCATATAAAGTCAAACTATTAGGCTCTTTATTTTTAAAATTTTGCGTGTCTGTCACCACGTTATATCCTCTATTAATGTAGTAGCAAGTAAAGTATCCACGTTGACCTAATTTAAAGGGACTTTAATAAATTAAGCTCGATTCTTGAAAGATAAATCCCTTTTTTGGGGGGATCACGAATCGAATGACAAATTTTACCTGTACTTGTGACGGCCACGAGGCAATAGAATGCAGATTCAGTAACGTAGATTGGATGCATGGAGGCAAGCGTCCCTCTCAAACTGGATCTGTCCTCATTGATAGACCATCTTCCTAAATGTTTTAAAGGTCCTCCATCCTTGGTAATATTAAACGCCTAGAAAGAAAGTAATGAATTTGGGGAGAAAAAATGTCCATGATCTTTTTTTTTTAACGAACGTAAAAATTCGAAAACAACCCAAGGATCGGTTTATACCTCAATATGGCTTTCAGACATTACGTATAACATCCTACGCGTGTCATCAATCACGGCTGACCTAAGACGCGCTTAAACGTTACAGATAAATCATGTGCGGATTATTTTACATATGTTTATAATACATCAATAACTGAATAGCAGCGTTATCTCCTTACATGAATAATTTGAAATAAATCGCCAATGTTGATTAAACGTGCTTAATGATTGGATCTCTAATCTGCAAGGATGAGAAAACCAACCCTCATCCTGGATTAAATAAATTTAGAGATCAGACGAGATACGAACGGCGATAAGATCAAACATAATTCGATTTTATGTCCTAAAAGATAACCAACCTCATAGACCAGTTCACAGAGTTCTCCGGCATCAATCAAAAAAATACGCCCATCTTCAGTGCCAACTATCGATTCCACGGTTTTTTTACTATAGTTTGCTCGGTATCTATCTGATGACATATCGTGGAAAACTATCCCTGTGGGAGTATTACTTAAGCCAAATATATAAATCGATTTATCCGTGACGATAACCAATACATATTGTGCATCATCGATGAAACGTCCTGATATAAAAAAAAAATCGATCGATCGATCAAGATACGAATCATACGTTTTTTGGAATTTGGTCACAAAGGATTCTCATAAGAGTCACATACCAGGTCTCGGTTTGGCCAGACCCACGCATTTTATATAAAGATCTTGTAGGGGATGCACGTCTATGTGACCGATAGCATTATCATCATTTCTATCGACGAATTTATAAAGTTGAAGATTATTTAAGAAATGACAACGGTAACTTTAAATCATGATGAAGTGACACGCGTTCCTGATAATGTTCATGTCACTCGAATGAAAGATATCTACCCTTTCTCATACTCCCATATGAATAGGTTGTCATTCACAGTAAAGTACACCAGGTTCGTATAAGGAAAACAGCCTAGCTTTACCGTTATTTCGTCTGACGTGTCTATTTACAGCCATTAAGGTTATAATATATACATGTTCTATTGAAAACGTCAAGTTTGAAATAAAACTTTGCGCAAAAGAAAGAACAAACAACAATAAAAAGATACTGGCAAGAAGTTCGCGTAAACGTGTCGGTATTAAGACAATTTTTTCTTCCTTCAAAGGAAGCGTATCTTGCATTACTTCTTTATAACGTTCCTGACTGCGATCTGTGCTTTGACGAAATGCAGTGTTAAGGTACCTGTTATCTAAGTTAACCTTGGAAGTGATAAAGTTTTCTTTTGTCGTGACGCCGGTCGCCATTATGACAAGCTTAGTAACAAGAACCTATAATTATATTTCAAAGATGGTAGGTAAAGAAGATACTTTTGACGATGGGAAGTTATCATGGTTGTTTATGACAAGGATCACGTGCACTCGGCGGAAGACCAATGGAATTCCGGCCACGTGATCTTCAACTTTTTCGTTTTTCATTCTTTCATTTTACGTCTTTGACGCACGTCACATTTATCAGATGGCGTCTTTTTTTGACGTGTGTAAGGAGTTACGTCAATAGAAGCGGTCGTGTAACGCAGACTTGGGAAAGAAAATTTCTTTCATGTGACCCGCATCACGTGAATCTCGTCAATTTTTTACAAATTAAAAATGAAGGTGTCAAAGACATCTTAAAGGAAAGTGCCATGTTTTGAACCTTTTCGCTCTCAGGATCGTAAGTAACAACGGGAAAACCGGTTTAAAGAGCTAATCAAACCAAAAGATCTCAAAACCTGATTTTGATTGCGTAACAAACCCCAAATCTTTACCATTAGAGCATGATGATAATCAATCAAAATGCAGGATAATTTTTTTTTCTTTAAAAAAAAAAAAAAAAAAATTAAAAATTTAAAAAACTATATAAATATATGAAATAGATGCTTGCAAAAATAATCTTCTCTTTTTTGAATCGCGTTCATGTAACGCGTTTTACAGGATTATCATTTAAACAATATGTAAAACAAGGATTTTCGGGGATCAAAAAAACATAAGTCCCCATAATCTTAAAATACAATTCGCAAAGATAGTTCCAAGGAAAAACCCTTTTTTTTTGTTTTTTTCCAATGAATGTACAAATAATTTAAGGAATCTTTTAAATGATGTGAATTAGCATGTGAATGACTTGGTTATTTCTTAAAATTTATTCTGCATAATCTAGAATACATGGAAAATCGTTTTTCGGGAATTTTTTGTTTTTTTGAAGTATTTTTTAATTTGTGTTATAATTTAAATGATGTGATCTCTAAATTGGATGGACAAATTGGGAAAGACTTAAATATTTTTGTTAAACAAATATTATTGATTGAAGAATATCGATATATCCCTGAACAACAATTGTAAATATTTACTTGAGAGATAGATAACTGAATGATAACCAATCATTGTACGAACTTATTAAGATCTCAATTGTTTAATCATTACAAAAGATTCACAATTTTAAGGGTTCGGGAAGGGGATGAATTGAGATGAATTAAACAAACTAGAACAAAACTCGTTTAACAACATGGCAACGATAAACCAATTATCCCAGTACAAATTCGAATTAATTTTAATTATTGCATCATCTCACTTATCATTGTAATAAAATAACGGGCCATAACTCCGATGAGTCAAACAATGAAATAACTTGATATAAAACATGTAATTTCTATTTATGGATTCAAGGACCCATTGTTTAAATTTTTTTTTGATATTTCGTTTTGTCACGTGTAACTCTTTCTTTCCAAAAAAAGAAGCAAATGTGTTATCTTTTTTAAAAATTTGGCTATTATTTACAAATAATAAATACCACAGGTAAACAAAAAAAAATTTATTAAAATAATTGAAGTTTTTAATTAAAGAACGTTGGAAGCAATCACCGTGAGTAAAATGTATAATTGTTTTCGTGAGATCATGTAACAATTAATGAGTAATACAACATGATATCATTTTTCGTTTTACAAACACAAAAGCAGTTTTTTTTCTTTTCTTTTTTTCCAGGTCTAAATGCCACAAAAAAAAAAAAAAAAAAAGAGAGAGTTGAGAAGGAGAATAAAGTAAAGTAAAAATTTTACTTTTTTCTTTAAAAAAAAAAAAAAGTGAGGGTGGTGAAAAAGGTAACCTCCGAATTTTTTTTTGCCCTTCCTTGTGTAACAAATCTACACCTTACAAAACAAGATGTTAAAGCATGAAATCTTTTTATCTTCAAATGACAAATACTATAAACACCGGTTGGAAGATTTAAGCGAGAAATTTTTCGAGGCATCCAATAAACGCGTAAAAGCAGTACCAATTTAGACCTTTCATTAACCCTTTCACGGTGTTAGGAAAAACGTTGTAAATTTGTACGCTTTTCGGCATTTTATTAATCCTTTGAGAATCATGCTATCCTGTAATGGATTATTCTCATTATAACAATCAAATATTAAATTGTCAGATGTATGCACGCATCGTTCTGTGTTCTGGTGTTTCTGGTGTTATGTTTGCATATTTTTTCGTGTGTATTCTTTACCCGTTCCTATCTCATCTTTAAGTTATCTTCACACCACCATACGAAAATATTACGACCCGAAGAATGGCTTAAGCGTCACCTGAAAAGCATCACGTCCCACTCCCTATAATTGAAGCCACCAAAAAGCTGATTGGTTTAAAACGCGAGAAACAACTATTTTCCCGCCGAGATTTTGGATCATCTCATCAAAAAAAAACAAGTTTTTAATGACCGATGACATGCGCCTTGACAATTTGCACGAATGGTGTCATTTTTACACTATTATCAAATAGGCTTAGATAAAAAAATTTGTAATAATTAAAAAAGAGAGAAAGAAAATATAAAAATGGAATGGTGGGATGTTCATCTTTACCACTTTTTGTTTTAGGTAATAAATCCATTTTAACACTTCTTAAACTTCTCGGTTACAATCTGTCCGACCACACATTTAAAAATTTAATATTGCGTGTAAATATTATGTGATCTTATCGAAAAAGAAGGTCTGGTAACCCACTCACCGCACCGCCACCTAATCTAACAAGAATTTCGATCAACATTTCCCACATACCAATTGATCTCATCGATAACTTATCACGCCATCGTTACACGCTCGTAGGAGGGTCAATCAATTGATCAGGTCCAGACTATGACGCATGGAAAGGAATCCGTGCATCCGCATCTGCCAAAATCACCGTGACACAATTGACACCCAAGCGTGTCACAGATTATATTTGTTTTTTTTTTCCCTTTACAAACAAAAAACTTTAAAACGAAAATAGGAAAAAATAAAAAACACGTGGGGTCTAACACGAGTTTTATTTTTAACACAAATAACTTTAAATAGAAACTAAAAAAAAAAAATAATAATAATTTTTTTTTTCATCATCACAATTTGTTTTGTTAATTTGTACAAATTTGTAATTTTGAATCAGAAACAAAAACAAAGAGACGCGGCATTTTTTTTTTCTCCTTCAAGAAACAAGATTATAAGGTTTAATTCTGGGTAACTTAATTGTAAAGAAGGGAAATTCGACAAGTAAAAAATCATTTGCGATTACCTGTTTTTAAGCTTTCCTGGCTTTTTGATGAACGCATTGAAACCAAACATGAACAATCACAAGGAGGTGGTTTTTTTTTTGATGTATGGACGAGAAACACGTGTGTAAAACACGAGTTTTCCGTCAAAAAAAAGTGTTTTGCGATTTACGATAAATCAATCCTTGATAATTTGTTGTTGTTTGACAATAAACAATCCTACAATTAAACCTCTCAAAGAAATAAAAATGAACAATCAACCAATGATCGGAGAGTGGGACCCAATTACTTAAAGTAAGCATCTTGGCGTAAAAAAAAAAAAAAAAAAAAAAAGAGATTTGGCTAAACCAATATTTTCGGCGGCAGTTCCCACTTTTTTTTTCCTACTTTGTACTTTTAAAGTAATTTCTTTATTTTAATTATTACTTTTAAAGAATGTAATACGAAAATAATTAAGAACCAATGGTAACTTTTCATTTACACACAGACTTTGTATATAAAAAACACACTGGTAGGAAATATAAATAAATAAACATCAATAGATCCCAACGGTTTTTTTTATCGACCTATTTCCATTATTTCCATGTGTTTAATATAATATGATAAACAAGGATTTGCAAACGATGAACTCGATAACCTAGCATAAAAAATAAAATAAAATATAGAGTAATGTTGATTAGATACAGGTACCTGATTCTTAATTGGGAAATCAAGAATGTGCTGGTGAATTCATCGTTGTTTCGTTGTTAGGATTTGCTTCAGTCGGAGAAGTTCGGAAATATTAACGATATTATTATGTTTACATAATTTCTATTCTATCGAATATGTTTGAACAGCAATGCTGTGAAACGTTCTCACTTGATGTAGCCGAAGCGAGAATCAAAATCTTTTTTTTTTTGGCGCACCAATGACAATCACAGCAACTTATCAAAGAAAAGTAAAGTCCATCATCCATCATACAATCCCCTATTTCTTTTTATATTGTGTTAAAATAATTTGGGGTAATAAAAAAATTTTCAACATCTTCGGGGTGAACAAAAAGAAATTTCCCAACACGTTTTTTTTCAATAGGATTTAACAAAGAAATACATTAACAAAGGAATTTGCACGTTTTTGTTTTTACATTTTTTAATTCAAAAAACCTGATTTTAGGTTACAGAATTTAATAACTCGTTTTCTCCTTTATCTGTACTATTTTTTTTTTTCCTTGAAAAAAAAAAAAACAATTTTCGATCGCGACTCAACACGAGAATTATAAATTGCGACTAATTGCGCAATTTCATGCTGTATCTATTTTTTGTCACACAACATAATTAATATAATTTAAAAAAAAAAAACTCCTTAATTTCGAAATCTAATACCTAATTAATAATTAATTACTCTTCTAATATTTACCAACAAAATTATTGTGTAAATTATATTTGTTTAACCCTTACTTATTTTCTTTTTTCACTTTTTTCTCATTTTTTTCCTTTTTTTTTTCCCTTTTTTTTTTTTTTTTTTTTTTTTTTTGAAAACATAAGAGATTTCAAGAATTTATTCAAGAAATAAATATGGCTTAGAGAATTTTTTTTTCACATTATGTCATCATCCCCATTTCAGAACTTAAACCAAAGACTATTATTAAAATAAATATCAAGAAAAAGTTCATAATATTATTAATAATTATTAATAAATTTTCAATTTAAAAAAGAATAAATTAAAAAAACCAGAATGAAAAATGATTTTCTTAATGCAAATTCGCAAACAAATCATCATTAAAAATCATATTATATAATTCGGAATTGGGAATCGAATTGAGTTACCGATAAACAATGGCAGCTCCGGTTAGCCGAACTTCCAAATAAGATGTATATTCGATCACTCGCATTTATTTGGTTAGGACAGTATAACCATAAAATTTTTTTGTTTATTGAATGGTTTATTTTTTACACACGAGGTCTATCGCCATGAGCATCCACCACGTTTTTCTCTTGCTGTTAAAGGATATTGTTTACTTCTTAACATGATTAAGTAATTTAAGTGACTTCTCATCCAAGGAATATCTCTTGTATGACAAATACCATAAATAATTTTTTTTTTTTCATTCTCCAACTTCTTTGGAATTCTCTTTCCTAAATTTTTTGTACTTTGGAAGGATCTTTTTCTTTTTTTTTCTTTAAAATCTTGCGCTTCGTCACACATTCATTGATATCTTTTTTCATTCAATAAATGAAAGGATTATTAGTGAATTCTCATTAATTAATTAATAACAATGATGCATTTGATAAAAGGTTTGTGTTCGTCATCCTAACAATCATCGTCACTGATTATTATTATTACTTTATTTTTAAAAAAAAAAAAGAAAAAAAGAGTGTGCGTAAACAAAATAAAAAATTTCATTATTATTTTTTTTTTTTTTTTTGTAATCCTCACAATGAACTGTTACAAAACGAAATTAACCGAAACTATATTTATTAACTCAACATTTAATAAAATCATGTTTTTATTAATTGAAAACCATTTGACTTAATTCTCGTGGTTTGACAAAATGAAAACACGTTTTACATGTCTCAAATGTTTACTATTTATTTGCCCCTCTCCTATCATCACATTTAAGTGATTAACGATCTAATCGGTATTCCTCTTACTACGGTCGGTATCGTGACGGTGTGGAATCAAAAGGTGCGATCGCTTCACCCCTGAGGATCCCTTGATGCGAGCGTCAAAGAGGTGCGTCACACGGTGACACGAGGATCGAAAGTGATGCCATTCACAAGGTCATCTTACTCCTAAATCTATTACTAACCTACTTTTTAGATTTACCCTCACAATTATCATTGGTTTAAACCTGGAAAATCGAAAATTAATAATCAAAAGATTTGAATTAAGGTTATATTTGTGAAGCATCATGTCGATTTTTTCACCGCTTAAATCATGAATAAGCGCAACAAATTTGGAATTTTTGAAAAAAGAAGCACCGAAAAAAAAAATATATAATTACACAAGATTGATAAATAACTCATGTGCGATAATGTCAATTTACTAGTTTGTAATTTGATTTTTGTGACATTTTGGTCATCAAGATCGTAAATCCAATAATAATGGATGTACGTAAATTCCACCATCATGGCTTAGAAACTTTAATATTTATTACATATTTCACAGGAAAAGCCACAAAAGAATTTAAGAATTATAAGAAGATAATATTTTCCCTGGGGTCCGATAATAAACAATGAACCTATGGCGTCATATGAAATCAAGAAACATTGCTGCGTCACACCTAATGCATTGTCTTATAAAGGAATTTTCAATATATTACAATAATATAAACAATGTACTTAATTCGCCAGTGAAAATGAAATCATTTAAACCTTTTTGTAATTTATTTCTTGATGAAATAATCTTCATCATTCAAATTAAAAAAACATTCTAAATTTATCCAAGGAGCATCGTTGAAATAATAATAATTACAAAAAAAAATAAAATAAAATAAAATAAATAAATAAGAAATAAATAAATAAATGAAAAATTAAAAAAGAAAAAATTTCCCCAAAATAAAAACAATAAAAATTTCCTCTTTTTTTTTTATATTTCCTTTAAAAGGTTTATTAATTAATTGTTAAATTAATATTCATCTCTTAAAAAAAAACTTCGCCCCAATAGAAGTAAATTTTGTTTACAGTCTTCTGCATACTATAAATTTTTTTTTGAAGTACCAAAAAATTAGATTACCATTTATATCCTCTATTAGTTTGTTGATTTAAAAAACAATGCTGCCCGATAAATATTTCCATCATTTTGACCATTTAATGTTTTACAAAATAAAATAAATAAATAAAAATAAAGAATATCTGATATATATTAGAAAACTGCGGTCCGGCTTATCCGAAAATAGTCTGAAAATTTTCCGTGGTTAAATACTTTAATTTTTTTTCTTTGTTTAACAAAGTTTAAGCCTAATTTCCCTTAAAGAAAACATCTCCTATTAATATGAAGTTAAGAAGGAAAAGCAATTAATTTAATTAAAGGAAATAATAAAAAAAAAAATTCTAGCATGAAAACCTGAAACCTTGCGTTACAAAGGGTTGCTTCAAATCAAAAACCATATTGTGTTTCCTTAAATAGATCATGCTTAAAAAAGATTCGGTGTATCTAAAAAAAAAATGCCGATTATATGCTAATTAATTATAAAATCAAAAAAAACGCGTTTTTTAATTTATTTTATTTTAAGTAAACAATTCATTGATAAATTAGATCCAAAAATGAGAAAAAGCTTCTTTAATTCGAAATCACGATCTATTTGTTGTTTTTTTTTTATATCTAACATATCTAAATCTAGATGGTCACTTAACAGTTTTATTTTGCTTATGATTTTTTTTCCCATGCCTTTATCCTTTTTAAAATAAATGCGTAATCGTCTCACAAAAAAAAAAAAAATAAAAAAAAATAAAGAGAAATAATATAATCATTTGACAAAATGGCTTATTATTATTATTCAAAAAATTCAAGATTTCCCTAAAATAGAAGGTGACATTGATAAAATCTCAAGGACATTATCAACTCA